TAATGTGGGAAGCCAAATACATTCATTCAAGACTGTTGGGATAAGACAGAAATCTGAAGTGGAGTGTAGAAGGACTCTACATTAAGAACATTTGGGGGCAGGGAGAAGAGTTCTGTAAATTAGGCCAGCATATCCAAACTGACCTATAGTATTTGGATGAAAAGTGACAACAATTTAGTGCCCTATGTTGTTTTGAAGTGCACAGCAATGCCCCTCAGGACGAGCAGTAATAAGCTGAATCAGGAAAACTGCTGCCACATTTGGAAGGAAGCAAAGTGGCCACAAACATTGTTATCTCAAGGGGCCATAAGCTGGATGGAAGAGAGACCGAAATCATTAAATGAAAAAACTGAAGGGATCTTATTGCAGCAGTGGCAGTGACTGGCTGCTTTTGGTCAAATTTTCTAAAAATGAACAATGTGCACTGTCCTCCCCCTCCGCTTCCCAAGTTGCTGATTATGTGCAGAAGTGTTTGTTTTGAAGAGAGAATGGCATTCAGCATCTTTGATCACAAGAGCAATCTCTTGATAAACCCAGCTAAGAAATGCTTCACTTTTTTAAAGTTTCTAGCCTCCCCAAGACATCTACAAATTTGGAGGGCTAAGACATCTAGGACACTGTCATCTTGGAATTTATGAACATCCAGCTACCGTTGTTCTCTATCTTTCACATTTGTGGCAAGATAGAAGGGCACAAACAGTTGCCCCAGAAGGTTTTACAAACAAAAAGAAACAACTGAGCTCCAATTGAAGGCAAAGGAAATTCCGCTTTTGGCATGGGCAATGATGCATAGCCAGCTAAAATGTTCTTCAATTGAGGCCCCTTTTGGGAGCTGTTGATTAGGTCTTGAAATGGCAGAAATGGTTTCAGTGATGATACTTGAATTCAGCTGAAGCATTTGGGGGACCAGTTCCCAAGGAACAGATGTGCCCCCCCCCCACACACACACACTATTCCTCATCACTCTGAACTGTGATTCCTGGAATAAAGCATTTTATATTCATTTATGAAAAACATAAATGCTGCTACATAATATCCAAAATATTTGTAGAATTATGTCAGAATAAAAGTGTTTAGCGTTCAAGCTTAGCCAAATGCAGATTTTCTCATGTTAGTCTGACATTAAATAATGTCCTCATGAGATCCACTGGAAACTCTTCCATCTGAGGAATGTACGTGACTGGGTAATATTAATTTCCCCATAGAACACACCGCCCTGATAGCTATAATTAAAAATCAAAATAAAATAGTGTTTTCATGGCAATTTGTTCGCTCCTTTTCACACCCTTTTCCCAACCCTTGAATTGTCTGATTTCCCACGTCCTTCAGAAGTAGACATAATACGTTCCATCCTAGAAGAAAGGATGCATTGGGTAGGTAGAGTTTGCAAACTGAAGGAAGTCTCAGGAGTTTGGTTGCTGGGATCATAGCCCATTGAATGCATGCCTGTTCAGAGGTTAAGATCTCTTCAGAGGTTCAAGGCACATTTCAGATAAAGTATCTATACAACTACAACGTTTTCAGTGCACTAGCTTGTTTTCTATTTGCAAAAGTCACAAGAACTATGCCTTACATCCAAGAGAAAAAGCAAAGTCAAAAAAGGCAAATTAGACCTAAGATTTTAAATTAGATTTTATTGAACAAAAACACCAACTTTTTTTTTTAAAAAAAGAGAAACCCCGAGATAGGTGATATTAAAAATATAAAAGGTCACAGTTTACAATGATGCTTTTGGTCCTATAATTTGAAAGGAACATCAAGGCATTTTTCCAAGCTGACCCTTAGGAAAACATCAAAGCATATGAAAAATACCAGATTTTACATTTTAATACATTGCATAACTTAAAACTCCTATGTCCCTTATTGTATCAACAATGTTCACATATAAGTAGTCCTTGGCTAAGGACCATAATTAAGCCTGGAATGACAGTTATAAGTTGTGTTGATTGTTAAACAAATCATCATGTGACTGATATTGCAAGATTTTTTTTTCTGGTGGTTGTTAAGTGAACACTATGGTTGTTAAGGGAACCATTGCCCACAATGGGCATTTTTGCTGGAAACCAGAAATAAGCACTAGTTTCTGGCAAAAAATGTAAAGTGCTGTCATGTTACCATGGGACACTGCAAACAACTGTAAATGTGGGCCAGCCGTCAAGTGCCCAAAATGTGGTCACATGACTGCGGAGGGGGAACGGGCACCCAAGTCAGTTTCTTTGGTCCATTGTAGCTTTGGTTGCTAAGCGACCAATCATAAGTCAAGGATTGCCTGCACTATGAAGCCGTCAAGGCACCATTTTGAGTTCTTGAGCACACACAAAACATAACGTTTGGGGAAAGACACAGCATTCAAACTGCTGCTGCTCTGATATATTCCAAAACAATATCTTTTGCTACACTTATTTCATTCACATGTTCATCAGGTATGCAATTATTTCAAGCGGACAATTTGAAAATGCTGCCTGGGTCAGCTGAAAGATGTGTGGAAGGGAGCTCACTTTCTAAATCACGGCTCTCCAACCTTGGCAACTTTAAGCCTGGCAGACTTCAACTCCCAGAATTCCCCATCTAGCAAAGTTTTGTTGGCTGGGGAATTCTGGGAGTTGAAGTCCACCAGGCTTAAAGTTGCCACGGTTGGAGACCTCTGTTCTAAATTTATGATATAATGAAACTAAAAATAATAAACACTTATCTACATTAGCATCTGTAGTATACTTGGAAACAGGTAAGGAATGAGAGCCATAGTTTTTTTTTTTTTTTTGTTACCTTGTTTCACAAGATTCATATGAAAAGCCCATACATCACAGTAGCATCAAATAGAAAAAAGATTCTTGGAAGCGAGAAACCAACTGTTAATCCTTTTAGGCCTGACTTAATCAGCAGTTTATTTATTTGCTGGATTTAGAAAGGCCATCCAACTCCACAAGACTCTGGGCAATAGACAGCATTGAGATATCACTTGGGGCGGGAGGGGGGGGAGAATAGCAAATTCAAAACAGTAAGCCGCTCTCAAAACTCATGCTAGTTTTTTCTCACTGCCTTATGCGTGCAAAGCTTTAAAAATACTCATTCACTCAGTTTATACAGCTGTCCATCTCAAGTTCATGACTCTGGGTGGCTGATAATAGTTTTTGAATAAAAGAACATCAAAAAATATTTGATGGTGATGTGGGTGGCATATTAATTCAATAAATAAAATGAAAGAATGAATAAAAAACAAGAAATGGCAGCACACATCTAAACCACAGTTGGGGTAATATCAAATTCATCAAAAACGAATCGACACACCCCAACCATTGTATGCGCTGAACCACCCATCCTGCCTCCCAGGCCTGGTGACAGAACCCTTATCTTTACAGTCTAGAAAAGGATGACGAAGTCAAGGCTAACCTAATCTCTGGGGAAGAGGGATGATATTCCTAAGAGTGGGCATAATGATCAGAAGGCTCTCTTCCTGGGCCCCACCAAATGGCACTTCCCTAATAAGAGATGAGACCCAGAGCGCGCCTATTCTGCCAGACTTGATGGGACAGTGGACATAAACAGGGAGAGGTGGTTGCTCTTGGCCCAATGCCACGAAGGGGTTTCTAGGTTGGAAACAGCAGCATGGAATGAACATGAAAGCATATTGGCAGCCAGTGTAGCTTGCAAAGCAGATGTGCAGCATGCATTGACCAATGCATTGATCATAACTGCCTGCGCCGCTGCATTCTGTATCAGCGGTAGCTTCGGGATGCTCTTCTAGGGCAGCCCCATGTAAAGTGCATGGCAAGATTGGGAATGCAGTAAGTAGTCCACCCAGAGTGATTGTGAATCGAGCCTCACAGTCCCAAAAGGAGTGCAATGGGTACACAAGATGGAGCTTGGGACACCCTTCCCAAATGGTTTGCATCTCCTGGAGAGACTCGAGCCACAGTTTTAGAACTTCAGATCTGCAGCCTTAGCCTCAGGCAAGAAAACTCCTGTGCCGAAATTCAACAAATGATAGGAGAGCCAAGCTAGTTTCTGAATACGGGTAGTCCTTGGTTTACAACAGTTCATTTAGTGACCGTTCAAACAGCATTGAAAAAAGTGACTTATGACCCATTTTTCACAGTTACTTTTGCAGCATCCCATGATCATGTGATCAAAATTCAGATGCTTGGCAACTGGTTCATATTTATGATGCTTGCAGTGTCTCGGTGTCATGGGATCCCCTTTTGGGACCTTCTGAACAAGCAAAGTTGACGGGAAAGCCAGATTCACTTAAAAATTGGATTACCGATTTAACAACTGCAGCGATTCACTTAACCGAGGCAAGAAAGATCACAAAATGGGAAAAACTCACTTAACAAATATCTCACAACAGAAATTTTGAGCTCGACTGTGGTCATAAGTTGAGGACTAGCTATATTAACAAACATCTTAAGCTGTCCTAGGAAGTTAAGCAAGTCCCTATTCCTCCCCGATCGATATTTTTAAGCGTGGGACATTTGAGGTTTGCCTTGCAGTTGCTCATAGTCCAAATATGTCCTTTTTAGCCTATATTGGTCTACAAATTTTTAAAGAAAAGGAAAGTTGAAAGCTACAGTATAGGCGATACTTTGGATTAATACACAGTCCTTGCCAATGAAATATTAGAAATAGCCTTGGCTTTGTCTGGTATTTGGTCCCTGTTTTGCTCTATGTGAACCTCTAATCCAGGGATGTCAAACTCAAGGCCCAGGGCCTGAATCTGGCCTGTGGGGTACTTAAGATCTGGTCCTCAGGGCCACCCTGGAAACAGCGAAGGACAGGCCTGCAGTGCCTCTGCCAGCGAAAACAGGCTCCCAAGCTCTGTTTTCAGCTGCCACAGCCTCCTGCAATCCTCTGCCAGTGAAAGCAGAACTCGGGAGGGTTCCCAAGCTCCATTTTCACTGGCCAAGGGTTGCAGGAGGCCCTGGAAGCTGACAAGGGAACTCGGGAGCCTGTTTTCGCTGACAGAGCACTCAGGCCACCACAGACCCCTCCGACAGGAGTGACGTTGAGCTGGCCATGCCCACCCTGGCCCCCTGAGGTCAAACACAACCCTGATGCTGCCCTCCATGAAATCGAGTTTGACACCCCGGCTCTAATCGATATGAGGGGCAGGTTGTAATGGCGGGCAAGCATTGATACTTTCCTCTGGCCCCTGAATATCATTATTTCCCATCTCACTGTTCGGTCCAGCTTCTGAGGTCCCACCTTCATTGTACAAGTATTTGAATCCATCATAGAATTCATCACTCCGCAGGTCATCCACATAAGCCTTGCCTCTGAGGAGTGAGTTTTGCATGTTAAACTGCACTTCTTTCTTCCCCATGGAATAATAGCAGGGCAGTCCTTCAGCCAGGTGAGTTTGGATGTTTTGATTTGCAGGGTTGAAAATGTAGACAGCGTTGGGGAGCTGGAAGCCCAGGATCTGCTGATCCACCAGTTCTTTGCAGTGGATGAATTTGGTGCTATCGATCTGCCACGTAATACAAATATGTGATAAAACCATTTTCTTCTCCTTTCCTTAATTTTTAACTGCTATCAGTAATTTATTTTTAAAAGTCTCTCCATTTAATTCCAGTAATTCCAGCAAGTTTGGTCTATAAAACCAGTCAAGTCTATCCTTGGACTCAGCGTCAACAAATGGAAAATCTGGATATGCTTTGGCCAAGTTCACACTTAACGTGAAACTTTTATGTCTTTTCATGTTAGAATTTCTTTTTAATGTTGTAAATGTACTTATAAATCACAATTAGGGTGACTGCTCTGCTTTAAAACTGCTTCTCCCTCAAGATAAACGATGTGAAATGAGTTATGAACCAATAGAAGTATTACACGGCAAATGTGGTTTATTTTTTTAGCTACAGACTCCTATCTTTGCATAGCATGGCAAGAAATGCTGCGTCTATCTTTTGTTTTCAAATCATCATGCAAATGCTCTATGATGGAACAATGCAGACAAGAAAGCAAAGCCTTATCCATTATCCTTGGGCATCTGAGCTGCAAATGTAGCTGCGCAACAATGGGAAAATCACAGGTTCCCAATTGTGGCTCTGTTTCATGAGAACTTTAATGCATCAATGAACCCCTAAAATTCTGGGAGTTAATAAGAGATGCATTATCATTTTTTTCAGTACTCAATGGTACCTTGGTATTAAGCAAGGTGGCATGATGGCTTAGCAATTAAAGACGCTGAGCTTGTCAGGTGGAAAGCTGACAGCCCAGATTCGAGAGTTGAGTGTCGCACAACAAGGTGAGTTCCCGTTCCTACCTAGCTCTTGTCCATCTAGCAGTTCGAAAGCATGCAAATCCAAGTAGATAAATAGGTACCACTTCGCTGGGAACATACCACAGCATTCTGCGTGAGCCTTTGGCATATAGTCATGCTGGCCACATGACCACAGAAAATGGCTTTGGACAAGGCTGGCTTCCTTGGCCAAGAAACGAAAATGAGCATTGTGCCCTAGAGTTGGACACAACTAGACAGGGAAACCTTTACCTTATTTAACAAGTACTAAACCACTCAAGTGGACAGGGACATGGGAGAATAATAGAAGGGTTTCATTTCTGTCTTTAATGCACCCAGCAAAGCGAAGTTCTCTATTAAAACTATAAGGTTTCATAGCAGTGAGTTCATAGTTATCGCTATGAATTATATTATTGACTAATATCCAAACTGACCACCCTGAAATTTCCTAAGACCTTGGGCACTATTATTGTTATTATTACTACTTGTTGCAGTGCTTTTGTTTTGTGGTTTGAATCCTGCTTTCCAGAATCACAACTGCAAGATGGGTGGCTATACAAATTGATGTAATAAAGAAATTAAAAAATCCGATTCCTGGGTTCACCAAGCCACCTATTACATGGCTGTGGGAAATGTGAACAGTTTATAAAGCTAGGTAAAGCAGCTTTATAGCAGCAGGCTAAAGACAGTGGTGCTAACAAATTCTCAGCTGCCAGAGCAAAGGCAATGCTCTGGTTGAGGTAAGAACATCTGGAATACCTGAAAATATGAACTATGCATGATCTCATGGTTCCATATAACCCACTAATGATTTTAATTCATCAGAACCTTAAATCCCATTAAACTAACGCTGGTCTTTTGCATTGGACAGAAACAGCATCCTAACAACTACTTGCAAGCACTCCTGAAAAATACATGGTTTTAAAATGTGCAATGTTTTCAAACGAACTTGTCACCTTGCTTGTTTGCTTTTTGAAACGTGGTGTTGGTCTCTGATTTAAGCTGCAGGGGCCAACCTGACTCCTACCTGTGCTTTTTTTAGCAGATCGGTAATTACAGGAAACCAATCAGGAGTCAGCTTCTCCAACTCTAAGGTGATGATCACCAAGGCCAGTGTGGAACCCTTAAACTGCAACACTTGGTGGCAGGCCATACAGTGCTGTAGCTGTTTGGTCAAGAACGCAGCATGGCGGGAAGGATTCCTCTGAGGTAGCCTAGTTAGTAATTGGGGCCACTTGGACATCACCATGGCATGGAACTGGAGAGAAGAGAAACAATCAGCATATTATATCATTCATATATATATATATAAATATAGATATACATATATGAATAAATGAACTTTGTACGTTTTCCTATGTCATTGACCAGAAGTGCAAACTAATTCTTACTAATGGCAGGAACCTCTAAAATCTATTATAATGGTTGGTCGCACAGTCAACCAGATATTTAAACTGGGATTATGATGTTCCATTGTTATAATTTTTGTGTCGTATTTGCCAAATATTGAGATGTTTAAGCTTACACTGAATGTAACTAATTCTGAATTCATTGCATTGTCGCAATTGGAAATTCAGAAAGTCCAAATTCTCCTTTATTTGTATAAATAAGTAAATAAGTAAATATTCAAGCCAGCACAAAGAAATAAATGAGAGTGATAAAAATCACTCATACAGGAATATAAAATTAACATCCTGGTTGGTTGAAACAGGAGATTTATCCAAAATTTTCCAGGATGGGAGGGAAAAACCCTACTTGTTCATGGTGAAGGAGGAGCATTAAGACACTATTGTATCACTTGCTTTTTTTGCCTTACTATAGCACATAGTAATTTCTTAAAAAGAAGTTTTCTTTCTATAAATGTTTAGCAGTTAAGATATATGACTTAAGTGCCAGGTCAGAATGATCTATTTTAACTAAAATGAGGGTCAAGTGCATTTATGCAGGGTGAGAAAAAAAAAAAGCTGATATGAGATGACCTATTTGTGAAATGTAGCAAAAATTTTGAAAGTTTTTTACATACAGTATTAAGATTCAGATAGTTAGAAATATTTTTGCATCATGCAAAAGAAAAAGAAAAAAAGACCTCTAGCGGACAGTATGAGTATCTCTTTTAAACATCCATTTCAGTTGTCCTTTCAAAATGGGAATTTACATTCGTAAATCAGCTTAAGTGTTTGGAATAAGTAGAATGTTCAAATGGAAATTCAGTATCTTTGTGGTAAAAAATACACTTTGAAATATTTGCAGTTAACTGCGAAGGTATAATTTGTGAGGCTAACTAGAAAGGGATATATGTTTACTAATGTTTTTTAAAAATCAGCTTAGTCTTTTAACCATCAAAAGGTTTAACGCTTACAATGTTTAAGAAATCCATTGATGTTGCTGTGTAAAGATCCCAATGAAGTTTATCAAGTATGATTCTTTCCATTCTCAAAATCTCAGCTGGAGAACATTTGCAATCACTCTGCTCTGCCAGCTTCTTTACTGATGGTATTATCTGTTCAAAAGCAAATGGAAACATAATAAAAGAAGCTCAGTTCTTATGAAGTATTGTGTAATGGTGATGTATGTACAATTCTCTAAAAGATGAAGAGTCGCTTTCTGGACTGTCCGTGTAATAAAATGAATAACACCTAAAGCAATTCTTCTGTGAAATCAAAACATCCAGGATGCTCAACTGTGTGTTACAAGACAATATTCTCATACATTTTAATAAAAATTAATTCATCCATACCAGTTCTTGATGTATGTGACTAAATCCACTTAAGTAACCTATACTGTGAAATGTAAAAAGTAGCCTCAGCTGTGTAATTGTAATCGGTATTTGAAGCTTTGGCACATAATTCAAAGTTTTGTGTTTTCCAAGCCACCAGTATTTGCTTAGAAATTGACCTACTCAACACCAATAGATACAATCTATACAAGCACAAACATACAATGGAGCCAATTTGGTGCAATGAGTAAGGCACCAGATTCAAAACCATGAGTTTCAGTTCTGCCTTAGGCACAAAGCCAGCTGGATAACCTTGGGCCAATCACTTTCTTTCAATCCTAGGAAGGAGGCAATGGCCAACTATTCTGACCCCCCCCCCCCAAATAAATAAATAAATAAATAAATAAATTGGGAATTGACTTTTCCAGGCAGTCTCTGAGACTTGGACATGAGTAAGTGGAATGAAAAAAAATAATCTTATTGGCTTCTCTATTCCAATTTATACAAACACAATCTATACAATTATACAGTATAATAGCAATAGCACTTAGACTTGTATACCGCTTCACAGTGCTCCACAGCTCTCTCTAAATGGCTTACAGAGTCAGCATATTGCCCCCAACAATCCTGGTCCTCATTTTACTGACCCCGGCAAGATGGAAGGCTCAGACAACCTTCAACTGGTCGGGCTTGAACTCCTAGAGCAGGGGTCTCCAACCTTGGCAACTTTAAGCCTGGAGGACTTCAACTCCCAGAATTCCGCACCCAGCTGGGGAATTCTGGGAGTTGAAGTCCTCCAGGCTTAAAGTTGCCAAGGTTGGAGACACCTATCCTAGAGTGAACTCTGGCAATACTGCATTCTAACCACTGTGCCATCATGGTTTTAAACAGCTACACTTTAAAACTGACAATTTGAATAGTGTACATTTCTGATTTTTTTTCTCGGAAGGGTTTACTAGAAACTATCACCTCATTCAACCAACTAGAATCTGACAGGAGCCAGCCCCCATCACCAAAATCATGAATGAGGCATTGTAAGTCACAACCTTAAAGTTGTATTGGGAAAGACTAAGAAGACTGGTGAATGGGCCATTCCTTCAGGCCCATTTAATAATATCTTGTGCATTACTCAACACAGCCCAAATCTTTGCTTATTTCAAAAGATGCCTACCTCATCTTCTTCATTGATTTTTGCTGCTAGAAGGAGACAAGCTATTGCAATGCAACGGAGATGTTTCAACTGTGCCTAAAACAGAGAGATAAAGAATAAAAGACTGCTCTGTGCAAGTTGCTGAAAACGCACACATTGTATATATTACCTATACCTGAACATCAAGTAAGAAATCATCTAGAATGTATTTTATTTATTATTGAATTTATGCCACACCGTTCTGTCTTTTCAATCGCTCAAGACAGTTGACAGCAATAAAAATGATAGTGGGTAAGATGTAACATGAATAATATAAATAAAACTAAGGCCCTTTCTTGCACGCCTAATAACCAAGTACCTAACATGGTGGTCATTTTCAGAAGTACTTCTGCTGCTGATTCGTGGATCCAGGCAGATTTATCATGGAAGGAACCATCTTGTCAAGGAATCAGCCCCTCTACTATTCACCTCTTCAAAGGGTCTTAAATTATTCCTGGTGGGCAATTGGCAGCTAAAACAGATATTTTAGTCCAGCATCATGTGGTCCTTGTCCCTGCTAGTAGCTCACCCACTGCATTTTGCCCCAGTTGCAATTCCAGGCTCTTTTCAAGGGTAAGTCTGCATAAATCATGTTGCCTACTTGAGATGGACTGTAATCAAGGTTATGGATCACTGTTTATGAACCTAGCTGGCTCAGAAAAGTTGTGGTTGTACAAACATACTTCTTGTTGCAGCTACTACCTATAAATCCAGTGATCGCTGGACGAAAAGGAATTCCTACAACAATGTGTGAATTTCTGGGGGAGTTTCAGGACAAACTTCCCTTTAATCCAGCATTTTTTTTTCTTGTCAACAGCACTTCCATATAACACTGTAACTTCTTTTTCATGCTTTTTTACAAATCGCAATATCAACAGTGAAATAATCCTAGGTCATGGTGAAGGTTAGTATCATGGTGAAGGACCAGCTAGATCCAGGATCAAGTCTGATCTCGGCCATGGAACCCCATTGGTTGATTTTGACCCAGTCATTCTCTCTGTCCAAGCAAACTTACTGGTTTTGCTTTTAGAGGAGTAAAATATGAAACCCCATGAAAAAGCTGGTTTGAGTTCCTGGAAGGAAGTAGGGATATAAAATCTTAATAAATACCTACAGTACATAGGTACATAAATGATTACGTAATAAGCCTGCCATTATTTCCACACTTGGAATAAGCCTCAATGAACTTTTTACTAAGAAGACATGCCTAGGATTGAAGATGATTTAATCACCTGACATTATATGTGTGATGAGAGCTCCTTTGCATGTCTCACTTTTGATAGAAACAACTAGGAGGAGAATCCAGAGGTCCTTACCTTTACTGATGCCAGCAACCGGTTCAGAAAACTGACCGCCAAGGAAAACGTTTGAACGCAAAACCGAAAGAGTGAGCTTAATTTTCCAATCCACAAAACGGTTCTGTCATAAGAGAGTGGAGAAATATCGGTGCCCTAAAGAGAAAAACTGAATTAAAAACAAGCAGTACAGGTAGTCCTCAACGTATGACCACAATTGAGCCCAAAATTTATGTGGTTAAGTGAGACATTGGTCAAGCGGGTTTGCTCCCCTTTATAACTTTTCCTGCCACATTTGTTCGATTAAATTAGTAGCATGGTTGTTAAGTGAATCGGGCTTCCCGCTTCACTTTCCTTGCCAGAAGTTGTGAAAGAGGTTCACATGACACTGCAACTGTCATAAATGCGAGCCAGCTGTCAAGCATCCAAATGTAAATCACGTATCCATGGGGCTGCTGCAGCAGCCATAAGTGTGAAAAATGGTCATGTCGCTTTTTTCAGTGCCATTGTAGCTTTGAAAGGTCACTAAATGAACCATTGTAAGTCAAGGACTACCTGTATAATCATTTGGAATCTCTCTGAGTCCATTGATCATAATAGGGAGTGCCTGATAAAAATTGGGCATGTGCATTTTAAGATACCTGAGATGTTTCTCTACCTCACCATAATCAGGATAGGATAATACCCATCTTTGGAGGTTTAGATGCAGATCCTTTCCCCAGAAAAGTACAATTGCATTCATAGGTGTTGTCAAGGAAAGCAAGAACAGAGTATAATGTTTTCATTTATTTAATTTAAAACACGTATATACCTGCCCATCTTGTGTTGAACTCTGGTGACTCCCAATCAACAATTAAAACAATGTCAGTAAAGACAATGTCACATAACTCTATTAAAACATTAGAAACCTGGCACCATAGTTAAACCTCCTATATCCTAATTAAATCCTTTCAGATACTGCACCGTATCCCAACACTTGGGGGGAAAGACTGACTTTAAGTGCTTTGCAGAAGACTAGGAAGGCAGGGCAGGATCATAAAGGGATGCGGTGGCTCAGTGACTAAGACGCTGAGCTTGTCGATCAGAAAAGTCAGCAGTTTGGCGGTTTGAATCCCTAGCACTGCGTAATGGAGTGAGCTCCCGTTACTTGTCCCAGCTTCTGCCAATCTAGCAGTTCGAAAGCATGTAAAAATGCAAGTAGAAAAATAGAGACCACTTTGGTGGGAAGGTAACAGTGTTCGGTGCACCTTTGGCATTTAGTAATGACAGCCATCTGACCACGGAGACTCTTCGGACAGCGCTGGCTCTTTGGCTTTGTAACGGAGATGAGCACTGCCCCCTAGAGTCAGGAATGACTAGCACATATATGCGAGGGGAACCTTTTCCTTTAGGAGGGGGGAGTTGAACTTCAAGGGGATGGCAATTTCAAGGGGTAGGGGTTGATACCCTTCCTAGATCTCATGGGATGGCAATGTTTAAGGGAAGGAACTGGGACTAATGATCTGGTAGAACAGGTAGCTGTCCTTAGGAAGAGATGGCCCAGCAGATAACCTGACCCTAATGGGTCATGTAGTGCTTTAAAGTAATTACCAGCATCTTGAATTGCACCTGGAAGTAAACTAGGCACCAGTTCCTGCAGTGGAATGGTACATAGGTAAAGCTAGAAAACTAACCCACCACATTCTGGATCAGTTGTAGCTTCTAGGTGGCATTCAAGGACAGGTTCACTCTAGAATGCAATTTATTGTAATGATAGCAAGCATACACAAGCTGTTGCACACCACTGTGAACAAACATTGCATGTGGGAAAAAATGTGACCACCAATCTAGGTTTGGGGGATTACGAGGGCAATTCTAATCTCATGTGGCTCTCAAACTTCATTCAGTACAGATCACCTTTTCACATATGAGAACATACCTTCAATGTGAAGTTCTGGAAGACTGGAACCTTCCAGATCTTTGCTTCTCTTGCTAGAGCATACTCCAACACCAAAGCAAGATTCTGGCTCTCTGAAGGCCCAATGCACTTCATAGTAGTTAATCGATGGGTCTATTTTGGGCAGCAAGAACTATTATCTGGAAATTCAAAACAACTGTAAGACAGCCAGTGATTATTTTACTCTTAAAATAGCATTGTACACATAAATGAGTTGGATTGTAGACTATTATCAGTGGACAGCTTCATACCAACAAGGAGACATAGTTTTCAAGAGGATGAAACACTATTTGCTGTACCTTACAGTGAGGTTAGGAAACCTCAGGAAATTGATGAACAGATAGGTGTAGCATCCTTCACTTTGGCTATGATGATCAAAGGTCTTGGAATTTGAACTGAACCAGCATTTGCACTTAGAGCTGAAGAAGTTTCTTGGATGAGAAGAGAAGTGTCTTCAAAGAAAAATCAGAAAGTCCAGTTGTCTCTTGAAAAAGCACCTTTGGGATTTGCACTTCTGCTTTATACAAACACCATAATGACTTGATGAGGGACCAATTTTACATAGGCAGCATGCCTGCTATGCTGTGGTGATATATGCCCACAGGTATTTTGTAATGTAAATTAAATATACAGGAATAAACCATTGTTTTGTCAATGAGATGAGGTTATAAATACATATCTCATGCTAATCATAAAGAATAAACTTTTTGGTTTTGTTTTCTCCTTGGTGAGATAAGAATGCCACATAAAACCCATTCATTTTTAGCTTCACTCCCCCGCCCCGCCCCCCATCTCTTATAAGTGAAAGATATTCAGGGAAAGCCAAGTGAATGTTCTGTGGTCTCCACAGAGAAGATGCCTTGTATCACTTCACACAGTAATGGGCATTTTCATGGGATAAGCTGTTCACACTCAGGAGTTTAATCATACATTGAATTACTTTCAGCACAGAATTTATCCACCAGCTGGGAAATAGCGATGAAGAGAGAAATGTTAGAAAGCTGTACCATATCAGTTTTTCTACATCAGTAACAAACACAAAACATTTGATTCTATTGGCAGCAATTATCCAAGTGAAGATAAGAGAAGTAACTTAACATTTTGCTTGCATTGCTTCAAGAATGTTAGTCCATATATATAAAAAAAATTTGTTTCTAGTGCTACACATATTAAAAGGAAAGAAAAAATGCTGCCTATTACAAAGATTTGTTGGCCAAAATCTAAAAGGCATGTTTTACAAGAGAAAGCACATTCTCCACTGGTTTAAATCACGAGTGAGTTTAACTTCCCAGAGTTATAATTCTTTTAACTACACTGCATGCTAAAGACTTGGTATAAAGGTACATTATTCAAGGGCTAAGAGTAGAATCTAAAGGAACACCTCCAATTTTATAAGCAGCAACCATTGTAAAATTGAACATAGTAATATTAGAGATATGCTGCATATCTCAGACCAAACTTGAACAATATTGGGAAAAGATTAGACCACAAGAGCAAATGTCCCTGGCATTTAAGTATTTGCAACCAAATCTTTATTAAACAATACCTAGACTGATGCACTGATAGTAACTCATAATGAGGTTTGACTGGTTTTGTGTTTGGGTTATGTAGAATATTGCAAAATCTCTGCCATTGTGTTTATGAACCATGGTTTTCATAGATCAACCAATGTTGATGTCTAGTGGTTTAATAAAGCTAACTGGTATCTCACCATATTCAATAAACAGAAAATTAAAAATACATAAATAAATGCATTTCAAGCCATGTCCATTAGATTTACTATTGAAGAGAAAGTTGTTTTCCTCCATTATAGTTTTAACTGTTTTCTTTGACGGAGAGATCCACAATTTCTTATATATTCCATTTATATATCAGATTTGTTCTCATCGTGTTTCCAAAGACATTAAAGGACATGTGCTGAAAATTATATACCATATAATAATTAAAAGAGCAAAAACATCCACAGTAAAAGTACAATTATTTTTCATCTATAGGGTGCATTGCAATGTTGTACATTTCCATCTTCCTTATCTAACATCTAGTAAATTCCTAAGCACAAATCTTTCTTTTCAGATTGAAGCGACAGCAGGAAAATAGGCAAGCAGCCTGGGAAAAAAACATGATGTTCCTAATGAAGTGCAAGGCCATTTCATTTGCACTCAGCTGCTTGTATTAAGTAATATAACAGCACACCATAAGCTATTAAGACACGGCTATTGGCTATTAGTTAAGGCTCTTATGTCACTCGTTGAATACAAGATGGAAAAATGTCAGCTAATCCACTGCTTACATTGCCAGCAATAGTTAATGGCTCCCTATGCTATATCAACAATTGATAAAGGGCAGCACATTGCCTTCATTTTGTTTTTCCACACCCTCTTCTTTTTTATAGGCAAAAAAACTGGTGCCTCCTTTTGGGAATCTCCTTGTCACTTGGTTATACAGGTAGTCTTCAACTTATGACCACAATTGAGTCCAAAATTCCTGTTGTTAAGCAAGACATTTGTTAAGTGAATTTTGTCCCATTTTACGACCTTTCTTGCCTCAGTTGTTAAGTGAATCACTTCACTTGGTAAGTTAGTAATCCTGTTGTTAAGTGAATCTGGCTTCCCCATTGATTTTGCTTGTCAGAAAGTCACAAAAGAGTCTTGGGATGTAGCAACGGTCATAAATATGACCCAGTTGCCAAGCATCTGAATTTTGATCACATGATCACAGGAATCCTGGCAAGGTCGTAACTGTGAATAAGTCACTTTTTCCAGCACTGTTGTAACTTTGAATGGTCCCTAAAGGAACAGTTGTAAGTCAAGGACTGCTTGTACCCTATATTCTAATGCCCACTATATTTCTGAAGGACCAGGTGAGTCTGTTTCTTTTAGAGAAATCCCACAAATGCCTATAGACCTCTACTGTTAACTATTTCTCTCTCCAAAAGGTTTGTAAATGTCTAGTTTCAAGAAGCCAACATTTATGCATGGTGTGATAGAGGCAGTAAAAACAAGTCAAGTGTGAAGAGGAAAGAAATGACCCCAGACTATAAGAATATGCAACGGATTTCAAATAGCCTTCCTTCCTTATCCAGTTTGCATGATGAATGCTGCGACCACCAGTTGAACACAGATGTATGCAGAATACATAATCAAGAATGGAGTTAGGAGATTCCCACACTGCTCACTCAGGCATAAGGGAGGCGATAAATCACTAAAGCAAACAAGGGTTTTGTGCCATAAATGCCTGGGGTGGCTCCATTAATCTTGACTTGCCAGAAGCTGAGCAAGGCAGTTTGGGACGTACCAGGTCTCAATCCATGCCAATGAGCAACAGTCCACTCATGCATTCCAATTGTGAACTGTGCGACCGTGGCAGTCACACGAGAGAGTTCATGTACCCCCACGTTACCTATCATACCAAGATCACAACTGTTTTCCTAATCTGGTATTCAACAAAGTGGCTGGGCTGGAAGATGATAGGAGTTGGAGAATAATATTTCTAGAATTTATCAATGAAGCCTGAGTGATAGACAGGATTGGGTTAGCCATGATACTTATCTATCTGCTGAGTCAACAGCTAAAAGCTGTTAAGTATGACTGTCCTAAATATGGAGGATGAGGTGCCTATTCATATTTGTTTTTTTTATCAGTCCATGGCAATATTTTGCCAAATGTGATAAGAAAAATGACTTTTGACGTTCCTTTCCTTTGAGGTAGGATGTGCCTTCCAGTCTGTGTTGACTTCTGGCAACTATCTGGATTAATCCCTGCAGTTTTCTTGCCAAGGTTTTTCGAGAGTGATTGCCATTACTTCTTTTCTTGGACTGAGTGACTGGCCCATAGTCACCTAATTGGCTTTTTGCTTAAGGCAGGAGTAGAACTTCTGGTCTTATCCTAGTGTCTTAAGCACTACAAATTGACTTTTCTTTTCCTACACTGCTCTGTTTTTCAGGGTTTGTATTGGCTGATTTGAGGTGGATTCTAAAATTCCTTTCCTTTGGGAGTGGGGTGTGCCTTCCAGTCAAACTTGACTCCAGGTAATATGTCCCAAGAATCATTTGTACATGACACGTCCTCATAATGTTGCTTTTGTCTTGTGACAAAAAAAACCAGGGTTGAAACATTTTGAAGCTGGCTTTAGTGGCTACAGTTTTACTCCTCCCTCTATCCCAACATAGTTTTTCATGGATGTGATGTAGCATGAGTTTTGCCAAACTGGGTGGGTTCTGCAGGTCTTATGGGGCAAAATAACTTGCCAGACTTAAATCTATTGCAATGAGTTTTGTTTTGGCTTACTCCTTTTGGGAAGGGTTTCTTTCCTCGTTTGGTCAATTAGAAAAGCCACTATGAATCTTCCTCATGAGTAGCACCTAGGCCAGGAAAAAATGATTGGTTGGGTTCAAAGTCCCTCCCCCGCCCCCCCAACTTAGTCCCTTACAGAAAGGCCTTTTCCCCATTAGTTCCCTAAAGTAGTTTTATTCTCTGGAAGGGATTAAGGGAGAAGAAAACTTCTAATGCCCTCAGGCATCTACTCCTATCTTGATGCAGCAACTTGCAATCCTAGCTACTTTTTTTATAGTTCAGAGGGCAAGGCAGGGCTTGCCAAGCTGACATTCAGGAGCCTGAATCCTCTTGATTCCAGGAACTTTACACCAACAGGTTCCAGTTCCTGAAAACATTGAAAATCTGTGGTTTTAACACAGGTTGATGATGTAGCCATTAACTCAGTTCCTATTTTACCACTTTCAGAGCCAGTTTGGTGTAGTGGTTAAGGCATCAGGCTAGAAACCAGCTGGATGTCCTTGGGCCAGTCATTTTCTCAGCCCTGGGAAGGAAGTAATGGCAAACATTACTTCCTTCTGAAAAACCTTGCCAAGAAAACTGCAGGGACTTGTCTGGGGAGTTGCCGGGAATCTACAGTACACAAATACACACTGAGAATAAGTTGAGTGGTTTAGGTGGGTTACTGGGAACATGTTCCCTTGTTTTAGCTGCTGACACTGCCTTCCTTACCTGGCCATTTTGGCTTGGGCTGGACACCTGGCTTCTACACGGGTATCTGCCCATGTCATTTTGGTAGATCTTATCTGGAAACCTTACAAATACAGGTTTAGCACCGTTTCTAAAACATGATTCCAACACTCTTTGAAAGAGCTAGGCCTGTGTTTAAAAGGCAAGTACTCTCTTAAGAGAATGCTAGTCAGATGCTGCACTAAACATCAGTTTAGCCTGGGAGAAGAAGCCAGCTTCCAACCCTCTTTTCTATTAACACGGGCATTTATTTTACTACCAGGATGGTCAGGGGGAAGAAAAGGAAAATATTCTGCCAGATGGAGACTGCTTATTCTGTCATAGTGACTGTATTGACCATTTGAGCAGGAGTCCAATGGTCCTTGAGTCTGCTGTTCAAAACATCCCCCACACTCACCCAGCCTTGCCAGGCCGTAATTAAAGAGAGGCATTGGTGATGGTTTTTCCCCCCATCAGCAGCTCATGCCAGGGGAGGCGAAGATGGCACTACTTGTTGGCCACATTATTGATTGCTTTATTAACAAGTGTCAAAGAAGCACAATTTATGCAGGCTTATGCAGGCTGGGGGACTGTACTAAAAGACATCTGGTTGGGCCCTTTCCAAGGTTCTCTTAAACAGTAGCATTGTAATAGTTTCAATTTATTGTAACTTTTTTGTTGTTGTATGCAACACAGGGAACTGCTTAAGAGTGAGGGAATTACCCACACCCACACCCACACCCAACCAAAAACGTATCCAAAAATCTCCAGGCAAGTCAGCAAATCTAAATTTATTGAATGTGGAACCTTTGCATAATTTATTAGAGTCTTTTGCAGAGCAAACCTTAATAAATATTTTATGGCATCACAAATGTGAGAGTTGCAATTTGACTCATGTTTGGATTTGGGGGCGGGGTAATTTAGTAAACGGAAACTTCTCCGCAAAATAAAATGCAAGGTATTGATTGACAGTGGCGGCTGGGTACTGAATTAACCAAGTTAATTCTGGATGTACAGTACCTTACATCGAAGCCTACTCTCAGCAGACGGTTTGGGTTTGGTTAAACTAAGCTGGTTGGTTAATCAAGATTAACCCAACATGGCATGTTGTGCAAATGCAGCCGCTGGAACTTGATGCGTCCTGCCGAACTGTGCGGTGTGAGCTGAGTGCGGGGTTGTGCAAATGCAGCGGCTGGATCTTAATGTGCCCTGCCTGACTATGTGGTGTGAGCTGATGTCCGTAGTGAAGCCGTCCCCGCAAACCCAGCTACAACAACCGTGAGCGCGCTGGGAAGAAAACAACAGGAAACAAAACACGTGACTCGGGTCATATGAGTGGCTGGTACTTTAAAAAAAAAAAAAGGAAGGAAGGAAGACAAAAAAACAAACAAGAGAAGTCGCGTTTGCAAAGCTGAGAGAAATGGGTCAACTCCATCAAGGAGGTCCCTTCCAAGAACGAGAGGAGAGGAGCGCGCGGCAGGCGATCTGAAATCTCCCTCTCCCTCAGACGGGCTCTTACCTCTAACTGGCACGACCCGAGGAGACCCTCCGTATCTTTGCTATGGTCGCTGCTCTCATCCTGGGTGGCTCCGTCTCTCGGCAAAGGTTCGATCGGCGAAAAGGAGGAGCAGCGGCAGGGGCTTCGACTCCGGCGGCTGGGGAGGGCTTGAAGTCACTAGCCCCTTCTTTAAGTCCCGAAACTCCTGGCGGGGAGAGCCGATCCGCCGGCGCGTCCCCTCCTAAGCGTTGGCGCCGAAGAGCAGCGAGGCAGCTCCCCTGTTGACAAACCCCCAACCGCACAAGACGGGACGGTCCTTCTGTGAGGGCGGGCTTCAAGCCCGCTTCAGGAGGCTCCGGTTCCCTATTCTCACAGGCCACGCCTCCGTGGGACTCTGTACGGAGCTGCCAAGGGTGTGTGTGTGTGAGAGAGAGAGAGAGAGAAGAAAGTGAGAGAAAATGAGGGGAAAGGAAGAAATGGCCTTCTGTGGTCCAGGTCTCTCCTCCTCTTCCAGAGCTGAAGAAGGTTCTTGGGTGAGAAGCTAAAGGTCTTCAAAGAAAAAAAAAAACAGAAAATCCGGTGTCTTCTTGAAAAAGCACCTTTGGGACAACCTTAGTTGGACTTAAGCGTAGTACACAAAATTATCTGCTACAATGTCCTGCCAGTCAATGAATACTTCAGCTTCAACCGCAACAACACAAGAGCACACAACAGATACAAACTCAATGTTTATCTCTCCATACTTGATTGCAGAAAGTACGACTTCAGCAACAGAGTGGTCGATGCCTGGAATGCACTACCTGACTCTGTAGTTACATTCTCTACCCCCCCACTCCTTTAAACTTAAACTATCCACTACTGACCTCCCCCCATTCCTAAGAGGTCTGTAAGGGGCATGCATAAGTGCACCATCGTGCCTCCTGTCCCTGTCCTATTGGACCCATTTAATCGTTTTTCTGTATTCTTACTCATGTTTATACTTATACCTATTATTTTGTAAGCGATTGACAAATCGAATCAAATCAATAAATAAATAGATAGATAAAATAAATAAATCTGGGTGACTGAGAATCTCCATAGAGGAAAGGAAGAAAAATGTCCTCGAAACTTCCTGTTTCACCATCTCAGGTTGTTTCTGCTACAACAAGCCAAAGTGAAAGGGGAGATTTCAAACCAAATAAACAAGCAGTAATAATATCCCTGGAAGCCCTCAACACACAACGGTTTGTTTAATGACTGGTTGAAGTTACAACGCACTGAAAAAAAGGTGACTTATGACCAGAGGTAGTATTCAGCCACCTCAGGCATGCATAGAATCAGTAGGAAAAAAATTGGAAACCTACCACTGTGTCAGGGCTCTGACAATCCAAAAAGGGGTAGCTTCCCACTCATCCTTCTGAATTCACAGGTGTGTTCCTTGATGGGTCGCCCTCCCTGCTTTAGGTTGCTGAGCTCATCTTCCACATACAGGTCCTCCTCTGCCTCCTCAAATCTGGCCTCTAGCAGTCGTAGGAAGTCATCTACATCCTGCAATTGGGGGTCCCTACTCTTATGGAGGGTTGGTAGCCATCTTCTTGCTTCTCCCTCCAACCCCTCGGAAATGGCGTGCACCATGGCTCTAGGGGAGGGGTGGACGTGTCCATAGCATTCTATGTGGATCTCAGCTGAGTCAAGGAATAGAGCTAGCTGGTCTGGGTCCCCATCAAATTTCCCCCTGAACTGGGGCGGTTCGTTGACAATTTTTCACACTTACAACCATTAGAGCATCCATGTGGCCATGTGATCAAAATTTATGATGGCTGCAGTGTCCCTGGGGTAACGTCATCAGTTTTTGTGACCTTCTAACCAGCAAAATGAATGGGAAAGCCAGGTTCACTTAACAACCATGTTATTAATTTTACAACCTCAGTGATTCACTTAACAACTGTGGCAAGAAAGGTAGAATGGGCAAAACTAACTTAACAAATATCTAATTTAGCAACATAAATTTTGGGCTCGATTGCGGTGGTAAGTCAAGGATTACCTGCATTGTTTTTATTGCTATTGTCAACTGTGGTTGTAAATTGAGGACTACCTGTATTTGTTTGAACTCGTCCTGTCTCAAGTCTTTTGAAACTGAAATATATTTATTGCAGAAATTCGTGGGAAGACAGTTCCAATAATTCTCAGCTAGCCCAGCCCTGGTGTCTCACTTATATTGTTTCTACTTCAAACATCTGGAAGCCATCACCAGTTTGGCCAGGAAGACTGTAAAAAAGGATCAAATCTCAGTCTTTTCAGTTTTTTGCAGACTTGGCTAGAGTAGCCAAGGATGGCAATCTCTTTTATTGAAAACAACATGTTTGTTTCATATCCCTGAGAAAAGGTACACTCATAAATGCAAACCAGTAGATCCATTTAACCAATGGGGTGCATACAAAAAGTACTACTGGGCCAATATTTTTGAGAAACCATATGTTACAAATAGATTACAGAGAATGTTTGCTCAGAGTTTACTTTGGAAGATGAAATAAGGAAATAATCATTGGTTCCCTGTATTTAGAAAAATGAAACTGGGATGTTTTCAGTTTTAGAGAACTTTACAGATACAGTACCTTCTTGCCTTAGGAAGCTCTCATGTTACTTTGCCAGCCTACAGTGGCCTTTGCAAAAGAATTGTGTTGACAGCTATATTCACAGCTCTGAAAAAAACAAGTCATAAGCATATCCAAGCTCCTTTATAGAGGAGGACTCATTTAGGGAGGTTCATTCCAATTTCCAATTATTCCCTCTTTCCCTCCTCAGAAAGTTCATTAAATTATTTGAGGCGGAAGACATTTTGGAAAGATAGCACTTACATTTCTCTGATATCCATTCTCCTGTCTTCTAAATAAAAGTCCTGATTAAAATGTCGTGCTGCCCGAGAGAAGGGTCCTTTGGCCTTAAATATGGTATAGATATGCCACATTTTTAGCAAAAAGCGCAAGTCACTTACTGGGAAAATATTTAAGGATTTTTGGAATCTGTTATGTCTGGAACATCATATCCCCTGAGATCAGATTAACCCTGATCCTGCTGGTCTTTCACAATGAATATTTGCTGTTTGCATCTGATATGATCTACTGTTAGAAATCATTTATTAGGAATTAAGCTTTGTTATTGGCTTCTGCTCATATTATTGTATACTGTCAGATATTAGCTGTTAGGAATTCTAGCTTATTGTAGCCTTGATACTGATTGACATTAAGTGAGTGCAAAGTTTGTTATCTCACTTCTGTGTCTCGCTTCTGTTATTAGCTTAAAAGCTAGGCACATCCTTGAAAATATAGAAGAAACCGTTACCCAGGAATATCAGGCTACATAAATAAAGGAACCAGAGTAGGGAGTTTCCTGCCTCATAGATAGTACCAGAGCAGGGAATTACCTGAAAGCATTCTCCTTGAATAAACAACATGGCCAGGGAGGGAAACCCCCACTTCCTGACACAGGGCTATAGGGCTGCTCCATAGACAAGGAAGGCAGAGACAAAGAAACCTTTGAAGATAAAGACCCACATTGGTAACAAACCTTTATCTCAGATTGTGTAAATGTCTCTAATGGGGTAAAAATGTGTATAATACTCTGGGCCACTCTCGCAGAGGTGTGGCTATTTCTTACATGCTTTTTGCCTGTACTTTGGAAATAGATTTCACCAGTGGTGGGATTCAATTTTTTTTACTACTGGTTCTGTGGGTGTGGCTTGGTGAGTGTGGCAGGGGGAGGGTAATGTAAAATTCCAATTCCCTCCCCACTCCTGGGGGAAAGTTACTACAAAATCCCCCTTCCCTCCCCACCCCACTAAGCTGCTTTTCAGCTCTGTTCTCCTGTGCAGGGCAATAAAAGAAGACCAGCCAATCAGCTGGGACTCAGCTGGGAGGCAGAGAAAAGAGACAGAGGTGATATTTGCGGGTTCTCCAAACTACCCAAAATTCCCACTATCAGTTCTCCAGAACTGATCAGAACCTGCTGAATACACCTCTGGATTTCACCCAGTTTTTGCTTTGGCCAAAAATAAAAGCTGTCTCACTCTCTTTGGCATCTCAGTGGCTCAGGGAAACTTCTGGGACCTTACAACAAAATGTTAATCTGAAGGTGTTCCTGGACCTGCTTATCAGGTTAAATGGCAGTTGAGATATCTCTGTTAATAGTTTTGTTTGGGTACAGGTGACCATTGTTGATTTTCTAATTCTTTAGTAATATTTATTCTATTTATTTTAATAGTGATGGCTTCATAGAGTTGCATTTACAAAATGGATGGTAATTTAAATGGAATGAATAAATAAATCTACATACTTGTAAAGAAACTTATAGCTGGGTTCCCTAACATTAGTGTTTTATGTGTGTCTGTATGATTTTGCCAATCTACTCAGATCTCTAAAGAAACATCTGCTGAGCCCATTCTGTGATCTTCATCCATTGCATCTTAAGTTATAAAAATTGTGGATCCTTGCCTAATTGTTGAAAAGAAGACTAACAAAGAATTATTGTGGCTCCAATTTTCCCTCCCCTGCTATTAGTAATATACTACTAATATAATAATTGCTAAAATCGAAAGAAATATAGCAAAAAAATCAAAATCCCATTAAAATCAATGATGTGTAGTTAGAATAGTTCAGACTATAGTAAAAGAAATTATAGTTTAGAATAACCAGGCATTGTTCACTAGTAACTATATAATGTATAAAAATCCCATTGTATCCCATTTCCATCCTATTATATCTATGGAAAAGATTTCAGATTGTGAAGCTCATCAGTTTAACTTTAGGTTCCCTAAACTTTAAATCTATTAAATATATTAGGCAGCCCTTTCCTTAAAAAAAAAAAAAACTCCCTGCTACAGTATGTGTTTCATTTAAGATTTTTTCTGTTTTGGGCATTTTAGAACACAACGGCGTTCAAATAAAAACATTTGAAAAATGATTTTTCAATAAAATTTTAAACTGATCTAGGCGGCAGAAAACTGATGAGGTATCCAGATGACCTTGAAAATATGTTAAATGCCAATTCAGGAAATGCCTGTCAACACATTCTATCAGTAATGCATCATTAATGGAAATGGATGCTTGCTTTATTCTGTTAATTGATTTTTGTTTATTTTCTACAGTTAAACTCTGAAATTCTCCATGAATGAACTGTAAAAATAGCCACCTACTTGCTTTTAACCAGTATGTCAGGTTTTTACATTTTGGCACATCATTTAAAGTTTTCTCCCAAAGGCTAAACAGTTACATTTAAATTTGTTTGTCTTCTGTCTAATTTGAATGTGCCTAAGTAATAATGTGTTGCATGGTTTTGA